TATGTCTTCATTCAATACATTTTAAATTATCTTTACATGCCACTCGGCTGTTCCTAACAATTTTCCGCAAATGACAGGGATGAATGAGAAGCTAAGTCTGATGCTTCCCAACAACTCAATAATTCTTTTGTTTTGTTTTTTCTCACTCTCAGTTTCGAACATGCATGTTATCCATGCTGGGGATGGGGGACGGAGAGGAGGAAGTCTCTACAACTCAGTCAGTGACTGAAGTCTCCAAAGTTGGCCCGGCTTAGTCTGACCGTAATCCTCTGTTAATTGTAAATCGTAAATGCTATGTCCAAACATTTAACAATCCAACAACAAAAATCATTAGAACAACTTATTCTGCTAAATGTGTCGATGACAAAGAAAAATAATGAAATCATGTTTTTTTTTTGGTGCATTTTGAAGAATTTCTTGTGTTTGCATTTTTTATTCATGTTATATTTATTTTATTAGGGCCATGCTACAGTTTAAATCCAGCCTCCAAGTTCATTTTTATTAAATCGTTCCTTCCTATGTCCACAAAGAGTTCCTCACCATTGCTTTTCAGTTTATCTTTCTTTGTAGTTTAAGTGTTTTTGTGAGATATGCGCACGTGTAGAAATAAATATGCTCAAATCTCACATGTCATTTTATTGTATGCTGCTGCGATATTTCTGGAGACTTTCAGAAAACCTGGTTCCACTTGCTTTGGTTCTGATCTGTTTGGGCTCATCCACAGTTAGATTGTGACCATTGATCAGATCAAAAATAATTGAAGTCATCTACTGTTGTTAGATATTACCTTTTGGAGTCAGTAAATCATATTTTCTTACAATCAAAGGGGAGTTAGGAGAGTTTATGGTGGTGATGTGATGCGCATCTCAACTTATTTCCTGATTGTGTAATAGCGCAAAATTAAGATTTAAAAATAAGAATGAAAAAACTAACGTGTTTTATGCACTTTATATTCTATTCATGATGAGTGGCAAAAGTTAAGTGGGGAAATAGGTTTTTTGCTAACCGGAGCAAAGACCACTTCCACTTTTAAGCGTGGGAGAAGAGCACTAGGAAGGTGACCGCTGCTACTTTACTGACAAAAGTAAAGATGGATTCAGTTGAATATTTTCCAGTTTTGGAAGAAAGAATCACAGCATCAACTTCAAATTACAGATGCAAGAATAAAACCTTAACTCTAAGATAACTAAAGATTCACCCAACCCAATCTCGACAGCAAACATCGAGAGCCGATAAATGAATCCGATGATCGTGGTAGAAATAAAGAGGAAAATGTGGGTTCAGACCACTGAAGTTCAGCACAAATTGAAACGGTAGGCATGTAAAATGATAAAAACAATCTTTTTTTTTTTTTTTTAAGTCTTTATGTGTACTTGCTGCATGTTGTCAGTAATACCATTATTTCTATGATTAAAAACAAGTTTTTTTGACAAAAATGAACAGAAAAAAAAAACATTTTCGCTGAAATTGTAAATGAGTTTATGCTCCGAGTATTTTAGGCCATGCTCTCCAGTTTTTACAGTTTCATATTTTAATTAAACAGGACAATAAAGCATATTTTCTTTCAAGGTATTGCTTTAAAAACACAATCAGATTCTTGAACAATCAAAACCAGAAATAAATCTGACATTAACGAGCCCAAACAACAATAGGCTACATCTAGGTAAAATGCGTGCTGGAGGACAAGCTAATCTTTTAGCCTCCGGCAAACGGATTAGCCAATTCCCGGGGTTCAGACACAGGCAAGCAGCGAGAAGATACTGGCCAATTCTGAACTCCGACACTAAGACTGTAATCTCGGCATTAGCTAAGAGGTGGTGTAAGTTATCACGGGAATACATGTAAAGCTTTAAATCCCATCCTTGAGCCAATTAAGTTGAGCCGGAGTAACGTTTAAAGTTCCTATAAATGCCGCTTTTCAGTAAGTCGGCATCAGACAGAGAGAAGCCCACCTCACTGAGACAACAGGAAAAACATGAAGTATCACACCACTGTCTAAGTGTAGATTTAAAATTATACCGCAGCCAGCTCGTATTGAATCATCCAGTCTAGTTGAACGTTTTATCCAAAAACCGACCCAATGAAGATGAGGACAAGTCGTCAAGAGGAAACTCCAGATGACTTCTGGATTCCCATCCCCCTGGAAACCGACAACATCACAGCCCTCAGCCCGTACCTAGTCCCCCAGGACCATTTAGGGAGCCTGGGGCTTTTTTATTCAATGTCAGCGTTAATGTTCTTCTTGTTTGTGGCCGGCACGGCCATCAATGTCCTGACAATCGCATGTACTATTCAATACAAGAAGCTCCGCTCCCATCTGAACTACATCCTGGTCAACATGGCTGTGGCGAACCTCATCGTCTCGTCCGTGGGCTCTTTTACCTGCTTCTACTGTTTTGCCTTCCGATACATGGCTCTTGGTCCTCTCGGCTGCAAGATCGAAGGATTTACGGCGTCTCTTGGTGGTAAGAATAGGAAAACATTAGAACAATCCCAGTCTGTGAAGGATTGGTTTCATGCTTTACCAGCTGAGTTTGTATTTAAGAGAGATGGAAGATATTGTGGAGAATTTAGTAACTAACTGTAACCCTGTCTATATGACAAGTCTTGATGTTGATATACGGTATGCCAACATGTGTATCATCTGAATTCTGTCTTGTTTTTCCTCAGGCATGGTCAGCCTTTGGTCTCTTGCGGTGATTGCATTTGAAAGATGGCTGGTCATCTGCAAGCCGCTCGGGAACTTTGCCTTCAAGTCAGAGCATGCTTTGTTCTTCTGTGCACTTACCTGGTTCTTTGCTTTGTGCGCTGCGGTTCCTCCACTAGTGGGATGGAGTAGGTGAGGATGACACTTTAGCTATGGATTAATCTAAGGCAGCCCTGGAATCATATTGCTACATGTATTGTCTGCTTTGCCAGGTATATCCCTGAGGGAATGCAGTGTTCATGTGGACCAGACTGGTACACAACGGGCAACAAGTTCAATACCGAATCCTTTGTGCTGTTCCTCTTCTGCTTCTGCTTTTCCGTCCCTTTCACTTGCATCGTCTTCTGCTACTCGCAGCTGCTCTTCACACTGAAATCAGTAAGTAGGACGTTGTGAGCTACCCAGATTTGAATTGTCAATGTGTGTTTGGTGTGGCTTTTTGGCTCGGATTCTGACTCAACTTGTGAATCTGTAGGCGGCAAAGGCCCAGGCAGAGTCCGCCTCCACCCAGAAGGCAGAGAAAGAGGTGACCAGGATGGTGGTCGTCATGGTGCTGGGCTTCCTGGTGTGCTACATGCCATACGCCTCCTTTGCACTTTGGGTCGTGAACCATCGTGGACAGACGTTTGACCTGAGACTTGCGACCATACCGTCCTGTGTCTCAAAAGCCTCCACGGTCTACAATCCTGTCATCTATGTTCTCCTCAATAAGCAGGTAGGCTTATGGGTGGTGGGCTTAAAAGACTGACGGTGGTATTTCACTGTAAAGCTGAAGGACAGACCAACTATAGACCTTTCCTGACTTGAACATGGCTGATAGAGACCGTTATAATCAATGGCTGAAATTGCTTTCTAAACATATAAATTTCCTCTTCGATAGGTGTTCAGTGTTATACTTTTTTTAAACTTCTTTTAGTAGTTGTCTGTTTGTCTCTTGGATGTCAGCAATATCCGAACCCTGAATATGTCGCTGCGTGGCAAAATCAACTGATCCTAACAGGATCGCATTCGATCCACGCTGAACGAGGGACAGCATCTGAAGTGTCCATCTTTGCCTTTGCTTTCAGTTCCGCTCTTGCATGAGGAAGATGCTGGGGATGAGTGGAGGCGACGAGGAGGAGTCATCTGCAAGTCAGTCGGTCACCGAAGTCTCAAAAGTTGGACCCTCCTAAGTTCTTGGCCTGTCTTGATTTGGACGACATGGAAATGACCAACATTGATGTGTTTTTACTATTGTTATATCTTAGGGTTTTGAAAGAAAAATGTAAAAAAAAAAAAAAAAAAAAAAAAGAAGGACAAAAAAAGAGAAAAAGATTCATCTGATGAAGCTGATATTTTTCTGTGCATTTTACCAGGGACATAAACCAAAAACACATTCTAGAATTGTATTCTGATGTGAAAACATGGGGATTGCTTTTCTTCCAAAAAAAAGAACAAAAAACAGACTGAGGTCTCTGAAAACCCATAAACTACAAAATAAATGCATGTAGAACATCTGCCACGTGTGTGGGTAAGTTGTTCAACATGCCATGACTTGTAAGTATTTGCTTGTATATATGTAGCAACAGAACTAATAAAGAGAAGCTCATATCCACTCGGGAAAGAAATTATTTGTTCACAAATAAAGGAAGCACCGCCTGAAGTGTGTTGGACCTGTTGGACGAATGGGAATCACATGGTATTATTACTGGTATTGTTGTAAACCTAAGCTTCACAACCATGTGGGTTTTATTGTTGTTTCATATATTTTTTTTAATTCAAAAGTCTTCTCACAAGAAGCATCAAATCTACAATTTTTATTTGACATGCATTAAGCATTTCAGCACAATTATAATGTAAGATAAGTTGTTATGAATTTTAGAGAGGCACAGTGTGGAAAAGAGAAGTTGTCACTGACCTGGCTACACAGCAAACAAAGCTGGTTGCATATATATATATATATATATATATATATATATATATATATATATATATATATATATATATATATATATATATATATATATATATATATATATATATATATATATATATTCCCTTCTCACCCACCGCGGGTGGTTCTTATCCTCTGAGCTCGGGTCCTCTACCAGAGGCCTGGGAGCTTGAGGGGTCCTGCAGTAACTTGGCTGTGCCAAGGATTGCACATTTCTGGACTGAGATGTCTGATGTTGTTCCTGGGATCTGTTGTAGCCACTGCTCCAGTTTGGGGGTTACTGCCCCGAGGGCCCCGATGACCACAGGCACCACTGTGGTCTTCACCTTCCAGGCCCTCTTCAGTTCATCTTAGAAAATATCCCAAATAAAATAACTATATTACACATTGAATAAAACGTACAATCGTTTCTTTAATCAATTACATATTTATTTGACAAATGTTTGTTGTTTTGGCCATCATGGTCTCTTGTAGTTTGGTGAAAAACCTGGAACACAGAAAACCCAACACATGTTCTCACACAGACAGCCATTTCTATGCACTCGTCACATCAAAATCTCTACACTCCACGGATGATGATGAAACCTCTGGGTGTGTCTGTGGTTGTGATATTCACTAAAGAGCCTTGCTGTGAGGTGACTTCTCTGTGATTTGGGTTCAATTTGCAGCAAAAAATACAAAACAGTTGGGGACAAAGAGATCAGCTGAACACGTGGCCCTAAATGTGTTGTAATTTTCCTAAAAATTGTTTCTTTGTGACATATGAAAAGTTGTACGTGTCAGTGAATCTTGAGAAGTGAGACAAAATGGGTTTAAATTCACCCCCAACCCCTTCAAAGAAAAATTAATTATGCCCTCTTAGCAAAGGAAGAGAAATGAAAAGGTCGTGGGGTCCTCAGAAGTTCTGATGCCCCCCAATATGCCCGATTTTTTTATTTTATTTTATTTTTTTTAAACTTTTTTATGTCTGACACTGTTGACAAAAACTTGGGGCATATTTTAATTGAATTGGAAAATATATAAAAATTATTTGTAATTTATTTGAATATGCTTAATTGTCATAATGTAGTGTCTTAGTGCTCCTTTATTTGTTTTAAACTATTACAATATATTAAGTATATTGAGTATCCAGGCTGAAATCAGCTTTAAAGGAGATAAAATGACATTTAAATCATCCAAAAAGCCATGTCAGCACAGAGGTTTTCCCAGGAGAACACTGTGTGGTAACAAGATTACTGGTTTCACTCACCTTACTTGTCACTGGTCATAATGTAATGGCTAGTTGGTGTTTTCACTCGTAAGCCTTTCTAACTCTTTAATGCAATAGAGTTAAGGCAGTTTGCTGGATAGGATTATCTTTTGGAATAAATGAAGGCATTGGTTACCTAGAGAGAAAAGAAAACAACGGATATTCACATTGTAGCATGTTTGCTTAAATGGCATTTCAAAAATGTAATATACTTCATCACCAAAGTCAAATACAAAGTTATATTTTCACTCTGGAGAGATGGGAGTTAATCGGTCCAACTGGACTTGACCCTAGAACTTCTTACTGCAAAAGCAGGAAAAGGGGAAGATCAGAAAAATATGGTTATTAAAGGTAAAAAACAAAACAAAAAGAAAACGGAAAAGAAAAATGAAAACAAAAACACTTTATGAAGGGATTAAGAAAAACCCTGAGAGAATATTACCTGATGTTAAGTGAACTCAGAGCCATGAGATCAGCAGTGGCCGATTTGGCTCACTTGGCACCAGAGTAATTTTCTGTCCACCTTAACAATCACCACACCACACACACAAACCACCTGTTGCTCAACACAGCAGCTTAAGACCTTTGCCGCCAGGCATTACCGTCGGTTGTCGGGAGCAAATCCGAGTTCTGCTAGTAGTGAACTTTTGCCAAACAAGAATAGTTCAGAACTAGCGGAATTCCAGACTTACCCTCGAAATATCCCGGCATCCCATGGAAAGTTAGGACGGTATAAAAAAAAAAAGTTTCAACCTTATGCTAAATGGAGACCTTCGTTACAGTAAAAATGCTAATGTTTCTAACAGTTTTTCACATTTAACAGTGCAACATAAAGGCTAACACAAATACAGACATGCAAAGATGTGAGATATCTAAGTGGTAGGAAAAAAAAGTCTAAATCTTAGAAATATTTACTAAAGTCCTGAGTTCCAGGTCCATCCTCTTCTTGAAGTGAAAGAAGTCCTTACGCCACATGGAGCACTTATTAAATGTGTGAGTAAGCTACGGCCACATGGTATAGATCCAATAAGAAAGAAAGAAAAAAAAAACACATGCAAGGATTAAAGTAAACCACTACAGAGGCGTTGATTAGGCTGAGCGTGCTCCTGACGTGACCTGTTATTCCGGAGCGATTACCATCTTACGGAGTGAGCATGCCAAAAGTAATCACTCTATGCTAAGTAGTTTTGTGGAGCAACCTGAGTTGTCTGTATAATCTGATTTGGTCTACTGGGGGATGAGATATCCTCACTTGGGTTTCATTAGGTGAAATGAAGGCGCTGTTGGCTTAGTGCTACGCACTGAATAATACAGTACGTCAGTTCACATCAATTTAGAAACCACAGTAAAACTTCGAAAATATGTACAAGAAAAGTCTGAATGCATTCCACTATTATTATACAGTAAAAACAAGGCCTGGGTGCGCTGCGGTGCCCCAAGGGTTAAGCACACCCCATATATGGAGGCCTTAGACCTCCATATGGAGACCTGCTGTCGCAGGTTCTGTTCCTGCGCTGGCAACCTTTGGTAGGCAGTGGTTAACTAAAGAGAAAAGAAAAAGCTTTTTGGCAGCAGCCGATTTTATCCATAAATTGCTGAACAGAAGGTACATCAAATAGAGAAGCGTGAGACATTCAATAAATGGCCTTAGATTGGGAATGAAGTCACATGACACCACTAAATTTAATGTTTCAAACACTAAAGACAGATTAAAGCCCTTTTTGAAAACAGTTTTTATCAAATTGTCAAATAAATGTATGGCAAAGCCAAGGTTACACTTTCAACCAACAAATAGGTCAAATGGGCATTATTTAACACTGACTACTAAAGAGTTGGTTGGTGCTGAGATCCAGTGAGGACAGTTGTACACCATAGATACCATGCACACAGAGACAATCTTCGTTGTGTCCCTAAAGGTCTTTGCTCGCATAAATTTGCCATTTTGGAAGACCAGAAACAATCGTATTGTTTCTGGAAAATCCAAATAATAACTTGCAATATGCCATAGAACAAGCCCAAATGACAGAATGGAAAAACAACATCCTTTCTGAATTTCTATTCAAAATGTCTCTATTGTGTACATGTAAGAAATGCATTTAGCAAGATGGCAGAACTTTGGCACTCTTGTGTTCCATAGATGGGAAACACATACAGTAGTTATTTTGACAGATGTATAACCTCTTCTAAAAAAGCAAAAATATTTGAGATTATAGATTATTAGCCTTAGAAATCCTTAGAAATCATAAAATGAGGGACTCCAAAACTCCACTATTAGTTCAACTGATTACACAGAAATGAGACTCAAAACAGAATCACCCAGATTAACAAATGGGTCAGTGACATGTCTTAGAAAGTCCTGAAAAGTCAATGAGAGGTGGAGTACACACAGGACACGTAGCACAGAGACACAAATCCCTTCGGTGTTGTTTCTACAGTACACTTAATTTTAAATCACCAATCAGCATTATATGTGTGTCCTTTCAGCAGAAGGAAGAAGAAAAACCTTGCAATTAAGAGTGTGCTGCTGGATTACAAATTCCTGCATAATTGCTTGCCTAGTCCTAACCTAAGATGACCCTCATCATATTGAGGGCTAATGGTGGTAAAACATTAACAACTGAAAACACAAAATAAAATAAAATTTCAAAAAATTCTGCAAACAGAATTAAAAGTGTTTCAAAAGCTTAGAAAGCAGATTGTCTGGAATGGATATCATGGCCCAGTAATGCAATTACGACAATGACGTAAAGAGTGGTTGGAAAAAAAAAAAATCCAATGTTCTGGGGTGAATCTTCTTTCCGGACAGATTAAAGGTGTCTGACTTGCTCCTCATGTCAGCAATTACAACAGTCACGGTAACAGTGCCACAGATCTCTTCTTATCCTCAGAATCAGCTTTAAGAGGCGTCTGTCCTTTCTGGCCAACCAGAGAGCAAAACCAAATGTAACAGTTCATTTGCTTCCTATATAAAGCAGCATTTATTTAAAAAGCACAGGGTTATGTTTAACACACCTGCAGTTTTAGGAAGCATTTGTTGCTGGGTTCCTGGAAATGTCATACATAAAACAGTCAGAAATGTATCAGTAAAAAGTCCTCATTTAATCCACATATTAGGCAAGAGTACGGAAATCCACTCAGGGTCTTAACCTCGTTCGACCTTTTAAGTGTACCTTAAAAAAAAGTGTTTTACGTTGTCTGGTAAGATCCGTGCCTAATGGCACACGGTGGCTGTAATATGATTGTGAAGTAATCCGCTAAGAGGTCACTGAATGCATCGGTATAAAAGCAAAAGTGTGATGTGACGTGCAGATCACCTCAGGAGGTTACAAGTGAGAGGAAGGTGTGACAGTGGAGAGAAGAGCCCCAGAGATCAAGATGGCAGAGGAATGGGGAAAGCAGGTGTTTGCTGCCAGGCGGTACGAAGAAACAACGAGAGGCGCCGCGTTCACATACACAAACAGCAATCACACAAAAGGTAGGCTTTTTGATTTGAATGATTTGGTGTTTAGACCTGGTGTTGTTTAGAGACTGGTTTTTGTACAGTTCCACAACCTGAAGTATCACCAGACTGAGAAGTGTTGTAGTTTATGGACCTCTATTTGGACTAATGCTGACAAGCACCACATGAAGTGTAGTGATTTTGAACATTTTGATTTTTGCTTCATTTTTATTGAAACACTGACCAATTAGTCTGCAGTTACATGCAACATTCTTATAACAGAAGTCACGACAGAAACATGAGACATGTAAAAAAAAGATGATGCTTCTCAATTAGGACAAAGTTGGACTGCTTGCGATTCTAAAACTCAGACGTTTGCTTGCAGATCCTTTTGAAGGACCAAACTACCACATCGCTCCTCGATGGGTTTACAACGTCTCCACAGTCTGGATGTTTTTGTGGTCGTTTTATCAGTCTTCACCAACGGCCTCGTCTTGGTGGCCACAGCAAAGTTCAAGAAACTTCGTCATCCTCTCAACTGGATCTTGGTCAACCTTGCCATTGCTGATCTTGGAGAGACAGTCTTTGCCAGCACCATCAGTGTGTGCAACCAGTTCTTTGGCTATTTCATTCTGGGACACCCAATGTGTGTCTTTGAAGGCTATGTTGTCTCAACTTGTGGTAAGTTGCCAAAGTGGTAACTGATGTTTCAGACTTGTAAATTACTTTTAATCAAACCTAAAGATGAATCCTGGTTGTAGACTGTTAAACTGCATGCATGCACCCTAATTCTTTACAGGTATTGCTGCTCTTTGGTCCCTGACTATCATCTCTTGGGAGAGATGGATAGTTGTGTGCAAACCCTTTGGAAATGTCAAGTTCGATGCCAAGTGGGCCACAGGTGGAATAGTTTTCTCCTGGGTCTGGTCTGCAGTCTGGTGTGCTCCTCCCATCTTTGGATGGAGCAGGTAATCTAGATCATCTCCTGCTTATGTTGTTTTTATATCCTCAATAATCAGCAGAGCAAGAACTGATTGTTTCCTTGTATCAGGTATTGGCCTCACGGACTGAAAACGTCCTGCGGGCCTGATGTGTTCAGTGGAAGCGATGACCCAGGCGTCCTGTCCTACATGATTGTCCTCATGATTACATGCTGCATCATTCCTCTGGCTATCATCGTCTTGTGCTACCTGGCTGTGTGGTTGGCCATCCGTGCTGTAAGTTTTGTCCCTCGCTGCTTTTTGTTGCTTTAGTTTTATCGTAGCGCTAAACAAAGATCGATCAACTCTGAGCTCATGCTTTGTTGGCGACAGGTTGCTATGCAGCAGAAGGAATCTGAGTCGACCCAGAAGGCTGAGAGAGAAGTGTCCAGGATGGTTGTAGTCATGATCCTGGCTTACTGTGTCTGCTGGGACCCTACACCTTTTTCGCCTGCTTTGCTGCAGCCAACCCCGGATACGCCTTCCATCCTTTGGCTGCTGCCATGCCTGCATACTTTGCCAAAAGCGCCACCATCTACAACCCTGTTATCTATGTCTTCATGAACCGACAGGTGGGCAGAGCGATACAGCTGTCACATTTTTTTTTATCATACCTTATATGTTTTTGTTTTATATTTAACTTTCACTTTGATCTTTCATTTGCAGTTCCGCACATGCATCATGCAGCTTTTTGGCAAACAGGTGGATGATGGTTCTGAAGTGTCCACATCGAAGACAGAAGTCTCCTCTGTGGCTCCTGCATAAACCTTCATGTTCTCTGTTTTGGAAGGAAAAAAAAAACTACTGTGACCTGTACAGAAACTATTTATTGTATGCTTGTTTTATTTTAATAAACATAGTTGAATTGCAAAAAAAAAAAAAAAAAAAAAAACATGAAAAAAGAGTGAATGCATCATGCATAAATGTGTAACTGATCTTTTTTGAAATAAATATAAAATATAAGGCATGTTTTAAATTTTGATTTCTGTGTATTTTTTGTAGTACAGTGATTTCTTTTTAGAAAGAACAACTCGAACAATCTGTCAATTGATGTTTTTTACAGTATGGAAGATTAAAAAAAAAATGAAAATGAATTCCATAAGAGTAGGCACAAATAACTTTATTACAGCTGGGAGAAAACAAATCTTGAATCTCTACAAATTGGATTAAAACATTAGACGTGACAGGATTTTAATTGTATTTAACGTCCTGTCATTTCAGTTCACGTCTTTGTTCCTTAGCATTTTACATATTTCTAATATTTTCTATGTGCATTTTGTTGTAGGAGACACATTTGTGGACTTTGCGGCTCTGTTGCTAGACCAGGCACCCCTCTTGAAGTCTGCACCTCCTTCTGAGGTTCTGGCCTGACCAAGTTTGGGAAGTTTCTTTGCTTTTTTTTTTTTTTTTGCCCAACAGCCAAGACACCCTCCGTCTTTCCAAGTTTTGGTTGTTTTGGTTTTGTTTCCGAGGTCTCCTGGCTTGACTGTGAAACGAAAAGTGGATTTTGTTGATCCATGATCCTGGCAGGA